GCCAGCCTGGCCAACATGGAGAAACCTCATCTCTACTAAAATTACAAAATTAGCCAGGTGTGGTGGCGCATGCCTGTAATCCCAGCTACTCGGGAGGCTGAGGCAGGAGAATCGCTTGAACCCAGGAGGTGGAGGTTGCGGTGAACCGAGATCGCACCATTGCACTCCAGCTTGGGCAACAAGAGCGAAACACCATCTTAAAAAATAAATAAGTGGCCGGGCGCGGTGGCTGAAGCCTGTAATCCCAGCACTTTGGGAGGCCAAGGCGGGTGGATCACGAGGTCAAGAGATCGAGACCATCCTGGTCAACATGGTGAAACCCCGTCTCTACTAAAAATACAAAAAATTAGCTGGGCATGGTGGCGCGTGCCTGTAATCCCAGCGACTCAGGAGGCTGGGGCAGGAGAATTGCCTGAACCCGGGAGGCGGAGGTTGCGGTGAGCTGGGATCGCGCCATTGCACTCCAGCCTGGGTAACAAGAGCGAAACTCCGTCTCAAAAAAAATAAATAAATAAAAATAAAAAAATAAATAAATAAAAATACATAAATTAGCTGGGCATGGTGGCGGGCACCTGTAATCTCAGCTACTCAGGAAGCTGAGGCAGGACAATCATTTGAAACCAGGAGGCAGAGGTTGCAGTGAGCTGAGATTGCACCAATGCACTCCAGCCTGGGTGAAAGAGGAAGACTCCATCTCAAAAAAACAAACAAATATACACACACACACACACACACACACACACACGCACACACATACATATCTATACACATATTTAAATATATATGTGTGTGTATGTATATATATATGGACCAAATAAATACCCCCTTGGGCTCTGGCAGCGGCATGTAACCTCTGAATCAGCAGGGACAGGGGTGTCTAAAGAGCTTGGTAGCAAAAAGTGCTCCTTTCTTGCTCAGGAGCAGAGGGGCCATGGGCTCTCTCACTGTCAGTCTGGGAGGAGGATTCAAGATTTCACCTCTTAGGGACCAGAGACCCCCTGTCCTCCTCATTGTCTTGTACTAACTGTCCGTCCCCAGGCAGAGCTGGTCACCACCCACAAGTGCCTTCACAATGAGGTAAAGCGGTTGAATGAGGAAAACCGAGGGCTCCGGGCCGAGCAGCTGCCATCCTCAGCCCCCCAGGGCCTGCAGCAGGAGCAGGGCGAGGAGGAATCACTGCCCAGCTCTGTGCTGGTAAGCTGGGTGTGGGCACTGAGAGCCTGGGGCCACCATGAGGTCCCATCCTCCCCAGGCAGAGCTGAGCATTGGTCAGGACTAGCCAGGCTGCTGTGTTATTTGCTTGTCCCAACTCATTTGCCTTCTCTAAGGCTCGGTTTCCTCATCTGAGAAATGGGACCATACGCCCTTTCCAGTGTTGGCAGCAAGAGAAAAGGAGTTAACAGAATGCTTTGCAGGAAGCAAGCAATCATTTGGTTGGTTTGCTATTTTTAAGTAACATATGAGCCACGAGATCAAATTCATCATAATCTTTGGTTCATAGCAAGCTGCCATCATGGATCTATGCCTGGCCATTGTTGACTCAATTTCTCAATGATATGGCTTATTGGTTGGGCACAGTGGCTTACACCTGTAATCCTAGCACTTTGCAAGGCTGAGGCAGGCAGATCACTTGAGGTTAGGAGTTCGAGACCAGCTTGGGCAACATGGTGAAACCCTGTGTCTACTAAAAATACAACAAAAATTAGTTGGGGCCACGCTCGGTGGCTCACGCCTATAATCCCAGCACTTTGGGAGGCCGAGATGGGTGGGGAGGTCAGGAGTTTGAGACCAGCCTGGCCAATATGGCAAAACCCCATCTCTACTAAAAATATAAAAATTAGCCAGGCATGGTGGCAGGCACTTGTAATCCCAGCTGGATTACTGGGAGGCTGAGGCTGGAGAATTGCTTGAACCTGGGAGGCGGAGGTTGCAGTGAGCTGAGATGGCACCACCACACTCCAGCCTGGGCAACAGAGTTGAGGCTACATCTCAAATAATAATAATAATATGGCCTATTAATAAATTGATCAGTAATAGAAAGATCACCAGGTGGCTGGGCATAGTGGCTCATGCCTGTAATTGCAGCAGTTTGGGAGGCTGAGGCAGGAAGATCACTTGAGCCAGGAGTTCAAGACCAGCCTGGGCAACAAAGCAAGACCCTATTTCTACAAAAAATAAAAATACAAATATTAGCTGGGCTTGGTGACTTGTGCCCATAGTCTCAGCTACTCAAGAGCCTGAGGCAGGAGGATCACTTGAGCCCAGGAGTTCAAGATCAGCCTGGGCAACATAGTTGAGACCCTGTCTCTACAAAAAATACAAAAATTAGCTGGATATGGTGGCCTCCACCTGTAGTCTCAAGCTACTCAAGTGTCTGAGGCGGGAGGATCGCTTGAGCCTGGGAGGTCAAGGCTGCAGTAAGATGTGATCATGCCACTACACACCAGCCTGGGCCACAGAGTGAGACCCTGTCTCAAAAAAAAGACGAAAAGCAAAAGATTCCTGGGGCACCCTCCCCACCCTGAGATCCGTCCGCTTCTGGGCACCCCCTCCCCATTCCTTGGCTCTCCTTTGCCTTTGAGCTCTTCTTTGGTGTTGTTTTTGTTACATGAACAGAGCAGTGCTTAATTTTAGTTGTTCCTGAGCTTTACAAAAGGATTTATTTTATTTTTAGTTTTTGAGACAGAATCTCGCTTTGTCACCCAGGCTGGAGTGCAGTGGCCTGATCTTAACTCACTGTAACTTCCACCTCCTTGGTTAAAGTGATTCTCCTGCCTCAGCCTCCTGAGTAGCTGGGATTACAGGCTCGGGCCACCATACCCGGCTAATTTTTGTATTTTCAGTAGAGACAGGATTTCACCATATTGGCCAGGCTGGTCTTGAACCTTTGACCTCACTGATTTGCCCGCCTTGGCCTCCCAAAGTACTGAGATTACAGGCGTGAGCCACTGCGCCTGACAAGGGGCTTTTGCTGTAGGTAATATGCTGAACTTTCGTTCAGACTCTTCCTGAGCACCCTTCGAGGTGTGGGGCGTGGCCATGGTGCCTGAGTTTTTTCTGCTGGGTGGGAACTCGCCTATCTGCCCTCCAGAGGATGGGCATTTGGGTTCTTCCCTCCTTTCGCCGTTTGCTTCCTTCCTTCCTTCCTTTCCTGTTCCTCCCCACAATCCCCATCTGCCATGTGTCTGTTGGCCCCTGCCCTCCTGCCCTGCGAACAGGCGGCCCGCACGGCCCAGCAGATGATTCCTCGTCCCTTCCAGGAGCTGCAGCAGCTGCTGCGCCACACGCAGCAGGAGGCGCAGGCCCAGCTGCAGGCCCAGGAGCATGGGGCTGAGCGCCTACGGATCGAGATTGTGACACTGCGGGAGGCTCTGGAGGAGGAGACAGCGGCCAGGGCCAGCCTGGAGGGGCAGCTGAGGGTGCAGCGGGAGGAGACAGGTGAGGGGAGGGGCTTGAGTCAGGGGCCCAGGATCCCTGATGTTCCTGCAGGGAGCCACAGGGCAAGGGCAGCAGCGGGGAGGGGAGAGAGGCATTGGTGCACCTGCTGGCCTTGACCTCTCTTTCTTTTCTTCCCACAGAGGTGCTGGAGGGTGAGTGTGTGCTGGAGGTGAACTTCTGGATCGCCCACCCTGGCTGGGGTAGGTGGGAAAAGGGAGAGGGCGTGGCCCTGACATCTTGCCCTGCCCTGACTTCCCAGCCTCCCTGTGCAGCCTGAGGACGGAGGTAGAGCGGGTGCAGCAGGAACAGAGCAAGGTGAAGGGAAGGAGAGGGACTGCCTGAATGGAAAAGACCCTCCCCCACCCCTTCCGCCCTCTGTGTCTCCCTCAGGCCAGGTGGGAGGAAGCCCTGGGGCAATGGCTGGGCTTGGCTAAGCCAGAGGAGGTGGGAATCAGGGGCGGTGTAGAAGGGGTCACTGTGTTGGGACCTCCCATGTTGGGACCATGCACCCTCCCATCTGGCCCAGGGTGAGCCAGGCCCAGGTCAGTGTCATGTCCCCGCAGGCCCAGCTCCCAGACCTCTCAGAACAGAGGGCGAAGGTGCTGCGGCTGCAGGCAGAGCTGGAGACTAGCGAGCAAGTGCAGAGGGATTTCGTGCGACTGTCCCAGGCCCTGCAGGTATGGCCTGTCCCAGCCCCACCAAGCTGGCTGGCTCCACTCCAGATGACATCTCCTTGGTCTTGCAAGGACAGTCTCCTGGTTAGGGGAGTCCTTTCCTCCTCCTGGGGCTGGCATGGTCCTGTCCTGAGCTATTGCTCCAAAAACCCCGAAGCTCTCCTGTGCGCGAGTCAGTCACCTGAAGCCCTCAGTGCGGGGCATGGTGTGGACGCTCTACATTTGTGGCATTAGCCCCACAGAGGTGGCCTCTGGGTCTGCTGGTCCCAGGCCCTGCCCTTGGGGGCTGACAGATGGTGTAGGGGCTGCTTTTCCCCACCAAGTGCCCTCTGCTCCCCTGGTCCGACCCTGCAGGTGCGCCTGGAGCAGATCCGCCAGGCAGAGACCCTGGATCAGGTGCGCAGCATCATGGATGAGGCGCCACTCACAGACATCAGGGACATCAAGGACACCTGAGGGGTCAGGGTGACCCCCCCTCCCCCACCCCACCCCGGGAAAGACGCCTTTCCCCACTCCAGAACCATGAGGCCTGGCTCTGGGGTCTTGGATGGCATCTCCACCGTCCCTGAGCCTGGGGTTGAGGGGACGGACGGGGCCACCACTGCCCTGCCCTCCAGCACCTCCTCCCAGGGTGGCTGGGCCTCCTGCTCTCAGGGATCACACCTGGGTGAGGGCCCAAGCCCCTCCCCGAACCAAAGGTGCAGGCTCAGGCCTGCGGCTTTCTGGCTGCTGTGCTGCCTTCTGGGCGCCAGCCCTCCCCTGCCCCCAGCCCATCCCCTGTCCTGGGCACAGCCGAGCCATGGGGGCTGGGAGTCCCCAACAGAGGCAGTGAGGCCCTGGGACAGGCAGCTGCCTTCTGGTCTGCATGACACTAAGACGCTTGACGACAGGAGCGACCCGGGCCTCCAAGCATGCAGAGGCGAGGCCGGACTTTTCTGTCATTTATTTTCAATAAATAAGCAGCTCAGTGCGGTCGGTCGCCTTGTCCCTGCAAGCCCCTTGGGGTTGGGAAGGGGGATTTACACGGTTGAGAGGGAGGTGGGTGGCTGAGGGGGAAGGAAAGGGAAGGGGACATTGTGTTTATAAACAGAAACATGTCGGGGGAGTGTGGGGACGGACAGGGGTCTGTGCCACAGCTCTGCCTGAAGATGCGTCACTATCAGGGTGGGGAGGACAGGGCAAAAGGACATTCACTTCCTTCTTTCATCTTCTGGATCTGGAAGGGGAAAGAAAAGGGATGAGGCAGGCGGCAGGAGGGCAGCAAAGTCCCTCCCAGGTGCATCTCCCAGGCACACACTTACCTGGAGGCTCAGAGGCTCACCACCTGCAGTTCCTCCCCTACTCACCTGCCTCCCCAGACACCCCGCCCCCCACTGCAGCCCCACAGCTGAGACAGCCCAGCACACAGCCAGCGCGACGCTGCGCAGCAGACGGGCCCAGAGGCTGGCAGGGCTCAGGCCTGGGAGCCCAGCTGCCTAGGGGGAGGCCAGTGGCCCACCCCAACTGGAAGCGCGATGGCGGCGGCGGCAGCAGCGACAATGGCTCTGGGTGGAGCTTCGAGCGCAAGTGACCTTGGATGCGATGCGCAAGGGGCTTGGGGGCGCAGGCGGCGGGGGCACAGCAGCTGGGGCAAGGGCAAGAGGTGGGTGATACCTGTGACACGGGCTCAAAGAGATGGAGGAAGGGGAACGGTTATCCTATGACCAGAGAGGACAAGAGGCACCGTTATCAAGCAAGGAGGCGGTGTGGGGGCCGTGGGGGCTGAGGAGGCAGTGGGACTACCCTGGAGAGGTGGCCCCTCCAGGCGCAGGGGGAATGGGACAGACACAGGTCCTGCTGGGGCTGAGGAACTTACCACCTGCAAAGTAGGGGGGTTGGGTGGGGGCGGCGCCGTGGGGAAGGGGCTGTGCTGGGGCCAGGGCTCAGGGACAGAGGGCACTTACCCTCTAGGTAGTTCCGAGCAATGAACTTGAGGATTTCGTCAAGCCCGATGACTGGTAGTGAGATCTTGAGGACCATGAGCCACTGGGTGAGGTCCAGGGCCCGGAGCTTAAAGATCATCTGGGGCAGGGGACAAGCGTCCTCTCAGAAGGGGGTGGGGAGGAAGCCGGAGACCCGCACTGCCCAGCCTGCTCCCGCCGACCTCCCGTATCAGTGCCCCTGGTGGGAGTGGTCATGGGTCCACCTTGGGCTCCCTAGCACTAGGGTGGGTGGTCCTGGGTGGAAGAAGTCTCACCGGCAGGGGGTCGACGTAGAGGATGAGGAAGTGCAGGGACATGGAGAGGCAGATGGAGCCCAGCAGCCAGATGTTCACCCAGGGTGGCATCCGCAGCAGGGACTGGTTCTCAGACAGGCTGCAGAGGGGAAGGGCAGAGAGAAGGTGTGGTAAGACGGGAGGAGGCAGGCAGAATGGTAGATGATATGGGCGGTGGCCTCGGAGGGTGGCGGGCGTGGCGGGGGGCCCACCTGTTGAGTGCATTGCACATCTCAATGGTCACCAGCACAGACAGGGCCATGGTCATGGGCTCGGGGGCCTCGAAGACCTCACAGTCTATGCCCTCGAAGTGGGCGTTGTCCTCGGTGCACTGCATGAAGTGAGTCTGCAGGGAAGGACGGGAGACTGACGTCCAGGGCCACCTCCATGCCACCCTCCTGGTCCCCTCCTCTGTGGCCTCCCCCTACCAGCTGGCTGTAGTTGACATGAGGCCCATCCTCTGAGTACAGGAACCACCAGGCAGCCGCTCCCACAGTGGCTGCACCCACGTAGCCTGTGGTGGAGAAAGGGGAGTCGGGGGTCAGGGCTGGGAAGATGGTGGGTGTCGAGGGCTAAGGGCCTCACGTGGCCATGGACAGGCTAGCCGAGGAAGAAGACCCTCTCCGGGCCTGTGTGGGGGAGCAGGTGTCCCAGAGAAGGGGTCAGTCCCGAGCGCTGGGGAAGATCGAAGAACCCCTCCAGCTCACCGCCGATTGCCATGTAGCGGAAGAATAGCCAGCCACTGATGAGGGGCTCCTTGGGGCTCCGGGGGGGCCGGTCCATGATATCCAGGTCTGGTGGGTTGAAGCCCAGGGCTGTGGCCGGGAGCCCGTCAGTCACCAAGTTCACCCACAGCAGCTGCACCGGGATCAGGGCCTCGGGCAGCCCGAGAGCGGCGGTCAGGAAGATGCTGCGGGAAGGAGGTGGTCACACCTCTGTCCTGCCTCCCAGACCTGCAGCCGCCCCACCCTGACCCTGGCTTCCTCCTGGATGCCCACTGGGCTGCTCACCAGACAACTTCGCCCACGTTGGAGGAAATGAGGTAGCGGATGAACTGCTTCATGTTGTTATAGATGGCGCGGCCCTCCTCCACAGCGGCCACGATGGTGGAGAAGTTGTCATCAGCCAGCACCATCTCAGAGGCAGTCTTGGCCACGGCGGTGCCAGATCCCATGGCAATGCCAATCTCGGCCTTCTTCAGGGCAGGGGCATCATTGACGCCATCACCTGTCTGAGGGAGGAGAAGGAGGTGGGGTCAGGGCACCTTCACACATCCCTCGTTTTTTTTATTTTAGGGATGAGGTCTTATTGTGTTGCTCAGGCTGGTCTCAACTCCTGGGCTCAAGCAACCCTCCTGCCTCGACCTCCCAAAACGTTGAGATTACACGCGTGGGCCATCACACCTGGCCAAAAGCTCAGTTTAGAACAAAGATCGGCACACTTTTTTTTTTTTTTTTTTTTTGAGACGAGATCTCACTCTGTCGCCCAGGCTGGAGTGCAGTGGCACAGTCTTAGCTCACTGCAACCTCCACCTCCCAGGTTCAAGCAGTTCTCATGCCTCAGCCTCCCAAGTAGCTAGGACTACAGGCACGTGCCACCACACCTGACCAATTTTTCTATTTTTTGGTAGAGATGGGGTCTTGCCATGTTGGCCAGACTCCATCTCAAACTCCTGACCTCAGGTGATCTGCCCACTTCAGCCTCCTTAAGTTCTGGGATTATAGGCATGAGCCATAGCACCCAGCAATTTTTTTTTTTTTTTTTTTTGAGACAGGGTCTCACTCTGTTGTCCAGGCTGAAGTGCAGTGGTGCAGTCATAACTCACTGCAGCCTCAAACTACTGTGCTCAAGTGATCCTCCCACCTCAGTCTGCCATGTAGCTAGGAGACACAAACGTGCCACCATGAGGCTAAATTTATTTTAAAAATTTTGTTTTCGTAGAGATGAGGTCTTGCTATGTTGCCCAGGCTGGTCCCAAACTCCTGACCTCAAGTGATCCACCCACCTCAGCCTCCCAAAGTGCGGGGATTACAAGCCCAGCCCACATTTCCTCCTTCAGACTTCTCTCTGAATCCCCACCCTTCTCGCATCTCACCAGGGCCCTCCTGCCTGGGCCCCACTCTCCCCGGCACAGTCATGTGGTCATCTCCTTGGACATTAAGAAGACGGTAGCTGCCTGGGGCCCCTCACCATGGCTGTGATCTCATCGAAGGACTGCAGGTACTCCACGATCTTGGACTTGTGGGAGGGCTCCACTCGGGCGAAGCAGCAGGCGCGTCGGCAGGCTTCCCGCTGTTCAGCCAGGGGCAGGTCGTCGAACTCTCGGCCTGTGTAGGCGCGGTCGGCCACCTCCTCATTCTCCCCAAAGATGCCAATTCGCCGGCAGATGGCAATGGCTGTGCCCTTGTTGTCCCCAGTGATCATGATCACTCGGATCCCGGCGTCACGGCACAGCTGGATGGAGCCTGTGACCTCCTTGCGCGGAGGGTCCAGCATGCCCACCACACCCACGAATGTCAGATCCGTCTGGAGAGACACAGCAGAGAGCCACAGGTCAGGCAGGGATCTGGAAAACCACCTGGAAGAAGCTGGTGGGGGTGGGGATGGGGTGAAAGGTCAGGAAGTGGTGGTGGGGGGTGGGAGGAAGCCTGAACCCTGGGCTTGCAGCCTCAGGGCCTGGTGTTAGACCTCAGCGGGGCCTTGGAAGCTCAGAGGCTGGAAACATCTCATTCGTCTAAGTACCTGGAGGTGCTGATGGTGCCAGGCCCATTATGGGTCCAAATCGTAGCTTTTTTTTTTTTGAGACAGGGTCTCACTCTGTCACCTAGGCTAGAATGCAGTGGTGCAATGGTGTGATCATAGCTCACTGCAGCCTCATGTCTCCCAGACTCAACTTCACCCTCCCAAGTGGCTGGGACTACAGGCTTGCACCACCATGTCCAGCTAATTTTTATTTTATTTTTTATTTTTAGTAGAGAAAGGATCTTGCTGTGTTGCCCAGGCTGTTCTCAAACTCCTGGGCTTAATAGATCCTCAACCCTCGGCCTACCAACATGCTGGGATTACAGGCATAAGCTACCGTGCCCAGCCCAAATCATGTCTTTCCTTTTTTTTTTTTTTTGAGATGGGGTCCTGCTCTGTCACCCAGGCTGGAGTGCAATGGCACAATCTCAGCTCACTGCAACCTCCGCCTCCCAGGTTCAAGTGATTCTCCTGCCTCAGCCTCCCAAGTAGATGGGATTACAGGTGTACACCACCATGCTCTGCTATTTTTTTATTTTTTAGTAGAGACTTGGTTTTCCCATGTTGGCCAGCTTCGTCTCGAACTCCTGACCTCAAGTGATCTGCTGCTTTGGCCTCCCAAAGTGCTGGCATTGCAGGTGTGAGCCCCCGCATGTGGCCCCAAATCATGTCTTTCATAGAAAGAACGTGAACTGGAAGTGAGGTAGTGGTTTCTGCTTTTGGCAGTGCCACCACATGACCCACAACTCATAGGAAATCCCCTGTATAAAAAGAAAGGAGGGACTCTGGTGCCATTCCAGGTGCTGGTCCACTACAGGTAAGGAGTTTTTGCCAGAACACAGAACCATTGCCTCAAGACAGTCTCGCTATAGAAAAAACAGCTGAACCCCACCCCCTTTGTGCTGAGTGGCATTGGCTACCATCCTGGTACAATTGCCTCACCTTGTAACTGATCACAGATCACACTTAGAGTAACACTGGGCTAGACATTCCCAAGCTTCATTCTTTCTCTCTCTGTTTTTGCTTTTGTTTTTAGAGGCAGCCTCTTGCCTGTCCTGCAGGCTGGAGTACAGTGGTGTGATCATGGCTCACTGCAGCCTTCAACTCCTGGGCTCAAGTGATCCTCCCACCTCAGCCTCCCCAGCAGCTGGGACTACAGGTGTTTGTCACCATGTCCAGTTCATCTTTTTTCTTTTCAATTTTTTTAAAATGTTTTTTTACTTTTTACCCAGGCCCCCATAAATTTAACTAGCTAATTTAAAAAAAAAAATTTTTTTATAGAGATAGGTGTCTCACTTCATTGCCCAGGCTGGTCTTGAACTCCTGGGCTCAAGTGTTCTTCCCACCTCGGCCTACCAAAGTGCTGAGATTAACGGCATGAGCCACTGCACCCAGCCTCCCAAGGTTCTTTGAAACTCCAGTGTCCTGTGATTCCATGGCCTATACAAGGAGCCATTGACTTGACTGACGTGGTAGGAAATGACAAGGGTGACGGAGGCTGTGAGTGGATGGCTGGGACCTGGCCCTTCACCAGCTCCATGACAGTGGGGGTCTCCCAGCTGCTTACCTCATACTCCAGGAACCTGGCAGAGTCATCCAGGATCATCTCCTCTCGCTTCGGGGGAGTGTCCCGGGTGGCCAGGGCCAAGCAGCGCAGGGTGTCCCGGCCAGTGCCCCACTCCTTGATCACCGCCAGGATCTTCTCCTTCACTGGCCCTGTCAGTGGCACCCGGGTGGTACCAACTCGCACGTAGTTACAGCGGTCGATGACACCCTCGGGGGCACCCTAGGAGACCAGAACAGCATTCAGAGACCACCACCTTCCTTCCAGGGCACAGTGACAGGCAGGGATAGGACAGGGGTCCAGGAGTAGGAAAAAGAGGGGGCTGAGGCACATTCCGATTTCTAACCTTGACAAACATCTTATTGCCCACAGCAGCCCGGGAAGATTTGGCTGGGGAACAATAGACAGACATGGACTTTCTGTCTCGGGAGAACTCCAGGGTGAATTCCTTCTTCATTAGCTGGCGGATCACCTAGAGAGGAGACAGGGAGGGAAGACCAGTCCTCTTAAAACTGTCAAAAAGGATCTGGAGGTCAGAGCAGACCCCAAGCTAAGGCTGAGACAAACGCTAAGTCTGGCCCCTATAGCACAAAAGGAGAAAATCCCAAGGCTAATGCTGCCACGGTGCCTCAGGGTCCCAGTTTAAGGCACAGAAGAAACGGGATGGCCTATTGTGGCACTGTCCCATAGAACTTTCATTATTGGCCGGGCGCAATGGCTCATACCTATAATCCCAGCACTTTGGGAGGCCAAGGTGGGTGAATCACCTGAGGTCAGGAGTTCAAGACCAGCCTGGCCAACATGGTGAAACCTCATCTCTACCAAAAGTTAGCTGGCCGTGGTGGCTCACATCTGTAATCTCAGCTACTAGGGAGGCTGAGGCAGGAGAATTGCTTGAACCTGGAAGGCAGAGGTTGCAGTGAGCTGAGATGGCACCACTGCACTCCAGTCTGAGTGACAGAGCAAGACTCCGTCTCAAAACAAAGAAACAAAAAAAAAATGAAAGACTTTTTCACCAAATGTATCATTTATACTTCTCCACAAAATAATAAAAAAATAGAACAGGCCCAGCGCAGTGGCTCATGCCTGTAATCCCAGCACTTTGGGAGGTCGAGACGAGCAGATCGCAAGGTCAGGAGATCGAGACCATCCTGGCCAACATGGTGAAACCCCGTCTCTCCTAAAATTACAAAAATTAGCTGGACATGGTGGCACATGCCCGTAATCCCAGCTACCTTGGAAGCTGAGGTAGGAGAATTGCTTGAACCAGGGAGTCAGAGGTGGCAGTGAGCCAAGAATGTGCCACTGCACTCCAGCCTGGCAACAGGGCGAGACTCCATCTCAAAAAAAAAAAAAAAAAAAAAAAAAAAAAAAAGAGAACAAAAAATCAATAGCCAGGAGAAGTGGTGCATGCCTGTAGCTTCATCTACTTGAAAGGCTGAGACAGGAGGCCTGCCCAGGAGTTCAAGGCTGCAGTGCGCTATGATCACACCTGTGAATAGCTACTGCACTCCTGCCTGGGCAACAGGGCAAGACCCCATCTCAAAAATAAATAAAAATTTATGTTTGTATTATCATTTATAAATTTTAAAAATTAATCCTCTATTGAAAGGTATTTAAGTTGCTTTTAGTTTCTTTGTTTTTGAGTCAGGGTCTCCCTCTGTTGCCCAGGCTGGAGTGCAGTGGTATAATCACTGCTCACTGCAGCCTTGACCTTCTGGGCTCAAGCAATCCTTGCACCTCAGCCTCCCTAGTTACTGGGAGTACAGTTTTGCAACACCACACCCAACTAATTTTTTTCTTTTCTTTTCTTTTTTTGTAGAGATGGGGTCTTGCTCTGTTACCCAGGCTTGTCTTGAATTCCTGGGCTCAAGTGATCCTCCCACCTCAGGAAGCGCTGAGACTACAGGCATGAGTCTCTTTGTCTGGCCTGCTTTTTCGTTATATTAAATAGCATTTTGCACATACAAAAAAAAAAAAAAAAGAGAGAGAGAGAAATGTGGGGAACATAATTCCCCAGAGAGAGAAGCTTAATGGAGACATTCAGCAAGTATTAATAGCAGTAACTGGGAATGACAGTCCCAGAACCGGCCAGGTTCATCTGGACAAGGAACGCTTTCCCTATAGTACAGCAGCCACAACTCAAGACCTGCTGAAAACAATTGTGCTTCTAGAAACAAAGGAATAATAGATGAAGTTAGGGCTGCCCCTGGATGGGTCCCTTGTGGTTTCTGTGTCCAGCTTTGCCCAATTCAACTCAGGACACAGCAGGCAGAAGTGATCATAGATCCGTCAAGGGCATAGCTGCCAGGCAGCCCCAGGGACAGTGGGTCCCACCCACATCAGCCTGCAGAGAAGATGTGGGGGGCCGTCCACTGCCTGAGTGGGGTCCCAGCACAGGCACTAGGCTCTGCCCAGCCCAGCCAGGGTCTCTGTCTTTCCTCTGGTCTGTGCAGCATAGAATGGAGACAGCCCTGCGGCGGGGGCTCTCAAGGCTCACCGAGTTGCAGGCGTTGGCCCTCTCCACCTTTGAGAGGCTTCTCACATCTGTGTTGAACACATTCATCTTCTCCACCAGGGTGGTGAGCGCTGTCTCAGTGGCCTCGCCGACCTTCTCATAGACACCTTTGGCCTGAGATGGGCAGAGGAGGAAGAGGAAATCGGTGCCCCGGGCTCCCACCTGTCACACCCACCTTCCACCTAGTGCAAGAAGGAAGCAAACCACTGCCTCCCTTACTCCCTAGCAGAGGACTGGGTGTACTGGGTCCCCTTCCCCCAACCCCTTCCTCCTTGCCTGTGGAGGAGGCCCAGACTCTGAGCCAACTGGAAGGGGAAGGAGAAGCTGCCTTGGGGGTGGGGAGGTTACCTCATTGAAGTCCAAGGAGGAGTCATTGCAGAGGGCACAGATGGTGGCCAGCTCCACCAGCCCGTCATACTGCCCTGGCCGGACTGGCTTATCATTCCTCAAGCTGGCAGCAGGGTCAGGGGAGGAAGGGACAGAGACAGTGGAGAAGAACAGGGAATGAGATGCAGAGAGGGCACAGGAAGAGCAAGCAGCAGGGGGCCAGAAGGACAGTGAGGAGAGCCAACTTGGATATCAGGAGAGAGAACAAGGTCAGGAAGGGAGAGGAGAGAGAAAGGAAAGCAAAACCACATGGAGGGCCCCAGGGAGGAAGGGGGTGTGGGGAGGGGTGTGAGGAGATGGAGAGAAGATGCCTGGGTGACTTACACCTCTCCCTCTGGAGCGTAAGTGGAGCCGGTGATGGAGAACTCATTCAGGAGGCAGATGTCCCCATCTACCTTGTCAATGATAAACATCTGCAGGGGAGAAGGGAAGGCACACAGATGTCCACCTCTACCCAACCCAAAGCCGGTGCCTGCATCAAGGGAGACCCAAGCTACCAACACCTACCCTCCCACCATTCCCTCCTACTCACCCCTCTTTGTCCTCCGCGTACACGCCACCCACTTCCCACCAAGCTGTTGCAATCATTCTCCATCACCCACCTTAAAACAATAGTTACTGAGGCTGGGGCAGGTGGCTCACACCTGTAATCCCAGCACTTTGGGAGGCCGAGGCAGGTGGATCACCTGAGGTCAGGAGTTCAAAACTAGACTGGCCAACATGGTGAAACCCCGTCTCTACTAAAAATACAAAAATTAGCCAGGCATGGTGGCGCATGCCTGTAATCCCAGCTACTTGGGAGGCTGAGACAGGAGAATTGCTTTAACCCAGGAGGCAGAGGTTTCAGTGAGCTGAGATTGTGCCGTTGCACTCCAGCCTGGGCAACAAAAGGCAAACTCTCAAAAAAAAAAAAAAAAAAAAAAAACCCACACAAACAAGAGTGACTGGACTGCAGGCTGTGCTGCAGCTTCTGTAGATCAGTTAATAAAATAAGATGGAACACAATAAGGTGTGGCAGGGACTGTGGCAAACAGTCCACCTACTGGCACCTGGACCATCTGTAGCTCCAACTGCATGTGGCTAGATCTTCCGATCTGCCCATTTTGCAGGAAGAGCTAAAAATTCAGGTTATTTTCCTATGAAATCTCTTGACTTTTTCTTTTCTTTTGAGACAGGCTTGTGCTCTGTTGCCCAGGCTGGAGTATAGTGGTGTGATCATAGCTCACTGCAGCCTTGACCTCCCAGGCTCAAGTGATCCTCCCACCTCAGCCTACCCAAGTAGCTGGGGCCACAGGTACATGCCACCATGCCTGTCTCTCTCTCCC